TTTTTTTTTTTTTTTTTTTTTTTTTTTTTTTGTTTTTACACGGTTTACTTTGGTAAATGTAAAACATTTCGATAAGCTGTTTAATAAGCTATTAATAATCTTTTGATCATTAGTGATAGCACTCTCAGTGGAATTTATTCTGAACCGCCACGACTGCTGGAACAAATATGAAAAAAATCTATTTAGGCCGTCGAGAATTGCGCACTAGGATTTGGCACCTAATGTCGGGTTTTGATGGCGGCTCGATACCAACTGTAAATTTTTATTCTCATATAAAATGCCAATTTAGACAGGGGTCCTCGTCCAAGCACAACCGATTTGGCCGAAGAGCAAGAACGGCTAAAAATGGAATTCGATGCAGCAATCAACGAATTACGCTTGCAGTATCAAAATGAGCAAAAAAGTAAAGCAAAATTACAAGAAGAATATATGTCGCTCAAGGAGCAATACGAAAAAGCGGCAGAAGCTATCGAAAATGATCGTGACTTAGATCCTGGCGAGGCGCAAAAACGCCTTCAAATCCTGGAAAAACAGTTCGTTGGTGGCGAACAAGTTAGTGCTATTTTTTTGCACCTACTCGAAATAAAGCCAGGATTTTCGCTTAAATTTTTAGCACACTGTGAAGTGAAACACGTTAAACGTTTGACTAGCCTCCTGTCCAAATAAAGTCTGAAAATTACGCAGCGAAGTGGGCGATCAGTCCGAAATCTTTGTAATTTTAGTATGATATTCCAAAAGGTCACTGAACATGCTGCCTGTTTCATTTGCTACAATCCACTGCACTTCGTTGCGTAGTACAACCATTCGATTACTTGGTGTGCGTTTTGGCCTTTTTTGACGTGTGCTTGCTCAGCCTCTGTTTCTTTTTAAGGCTAATAACGAAGCTCTAAAGAGGAAACGACAAAGTAAGATGATAGAAGCGGAAAGGAAAATGCAACGTTTAGCTGGTCAGCTCTTTTGTATGCAATTTTTTAAAAACACCGTATTGTAGCGGTGATGCTCATTTAACCGTTTTGCGTGTTGGCGTGCTTTGTGCTCGCATAGTGCCTGGTGAAATCGCCCCAAATTTGCAACAAAATGCACTTGGGGAACACACACGCACACAAGCAGGGTCTCCACAGTATACATTT